CCCTACATCCTAGTCCTGCCTGTGCTGGCTCATCCCTTGGCCTTCTGCATGTGACCACACCCAGAAGCAGAGGCTAGATGGACCCTGCATGTTCTCTACTCTCTGTTTCCCTGCCCAGTCCATCTGATGCACCCTGACTAGGGTCCAGGGGGTCCTGGGTGTGTGCTGACAGCTATCACCATCACATTTCTGCCAGGTACAAGGCAGGGCCACATTGATGGTACCTTTCAGGGTTGGGCACATTTTACTTTTTATATAAGAAACCTTGTGTCTTGGAGCTTAGTGTCCATGCCCCTTGTGCTGCCAGGCAGTGGCCCTATTCAGCCAGCTTAGGTGTATCATCCATGTGGAAGTCATATGAATTGCCACCAAGCCAAGGTAGGCCTCATCCAAGAAGGCTTAACAGAGCACTGCCCTTGTGTGAAATGAGTGCACCTGCCCTGAAGACCTGCTAGGGTTTCCCCAGGACAGAGGCAGAGGTGGAGATGGGAAAGCTTTGTTTTATTCACTTAGTAGTTCAAGCCCCATCAGCCCCTTGGAAACGTTTTTAATTAAATACAGTTCATTTTTGTACCTGGGTTAGAATTCAAAGAGCAGGTTTAGCAAGGTTGAAGGATGCCTCTCTGTGACCTCAGGAGCACCAGGTGTGGTACAGGTATGCAGGGTAGCCATCTCAGAGGGCTAGCACTGGCAGGTGTGCAGGCTCAGTGGCTCCCTGGGGTTGTGGAGTCCTACCCACAGCAGGGTCGGAGCCCTTGATGACAGTTCCTTCCCACAGAATCTGCCTCATTCCTGCTGTATCCAGTACCCAGCAGGAAAGCAAGGTGCTGCTATTCTCCATCTTTGAACATTCTGCCAGATGTGGCTTGTTTTTTTTTTTTTAAACCTGTCTGCCAGTTAGGGAGATGACTTAGCTGATAAAGTGCTGGTGAGGGCCCAAGTTCAACCCTCCACACCCATGTAAGAAAGCTAAGTACAGTGGTAATGCTTGTAATCCCTGCACTGGGAAGGCAGAGACAAGCACATCCCTAGGGCTTGAGGGCGGATCAGCCTACCCCTAAACCCAGCATGACTCTAGTTCTCACTGAAGTGACCAGCTCCTGGGAGCAGCACTCAAGATTGTCTTCTGGTCTCCACATGCATCTGCACATACATGTTTTCTGTCTGTCTGTCTGTGTACCCACCCACCCATCTATCTGCCCTCCTGTGCTCCTGTGATTGCTCGAATACTCACACGCACACATACACACACACACACACACACACACACACACACACTCTCTCTCTCTCTCTCTCTCTCTCCTGTCTGCTGACTGCCTTATCCTCTCCTATAGACAGGGAACTTATTCAGCAGCAGTCTCTGCCTTTCAAGGCTGGTTCTGCTGTACAGCTCCTGCTGTCTCTGGAGTGCTGTTCACCTCTCTAGTGACAGTTACATTATCAACCTGCTGCTGCCACTGAACCTTTTACTCCAAGCATTCTGGGACACTGTGCATACACTTGCAACCAACAGGGCAAGTCCCAGCACTGTCTCCATTTTACAGGTGAGAAACAGAGACAAAAGAGTTGAGAGATTTGTACCGGGCTACAAAGACAGGAGTTGGATTTGGCCCTGGTTGCTCAGCCCTTGTAAGCATTGACTCCCTACACTGTCTGATCCCTGCACTCAGTGGCCCCCAAGGGCCATGTACCAAGTTTGAGGGACCAAAGGACACATGGAGCTGCTATTGTCGCAGAGAAGGCAGATCTCTATGACAGCATCAGGGACATGATTGTAGAGGTTGGTGTGGTCAGAGCCAGAGCTTGAATGGAAGTCCATTGACTTCTGACCCCAGGATCCTTCATTGCCCTGCCCCCTACTCCTCAGCCCTCAGAGCCCCAGTAGTGGATCTAAGAGGGACCAAGAATGTAAGCAGGTCACTATGTTGTCCTTTGTGGAAGTACCTGTGGGTAAGATTGCTTATGACACTGTGGAGCACTGACCCTCTGCATGGATAAACTCTTTGTCAAGGAGCAGACAGAACCACAGCCTCTCTCCTTAACATTCAGAGCCTCATCTCTTGGAGCCTCTCCAGGGGCCAGTCATGGCAGCGAGAGTTCAGAGAGGATACCCTTCAGCAGTACATACAGGGCAGGCTGAGCTGCTCGGCTTGTGGGGCGTGGCCCACCATCTTCCAAAGCACTGTCCCGAGGAGAAGCACTGTTCACCCTGCTGTCTGCCAGGTAGAACAGAAACGGTCTGGATCCACATTGCCTTTGAGAGGGCCACAGTGTCCAGGACGTGGCCCAGTCATCCTCTTGGTCAAGGCCACTGCTGGGACTCTAAACCCATTCATCTGGGATGTCTATGTGGGTTGTGTCATTGGCATTGACGGGCATCTAGATTTATTCAGGTGACCACAGCCTACAACTGACCCCACAGGAACCCTCCTTTGTTAATTGAAAGACTGGGCTAGCTGAGTGACACCCCACTGTACTCTCTCAGTGGCTTTCAAAAGTGGCAGTGTCCTTGAGTTGCTTCAGTGTCGATGTCAGAAGAGAAATCTCCCTTTATTCGCACAGCCACAAATGTGGCCTAGCACTGATTTGGTTCTGGGGTTAAGACAGAAGGGTCAAGTGCCACCTGCAGAGTTCTAACAAGGGCTCTGTGGAAGGATACCCTGTCAGCAAAACAATACAGAGCTGTCCCCAGCCAGCCATTGCCTCTGTGGCATGCCAGCGATGGCTTTGTGAGTTAACTGCTTGCCTCCTGTACCTTGTTGGTGATGGACAACAGCTTCTAATAAATGTACCATGTTTCCCAGATAGGAGATGCCGCTGCTGCTGCAACAGGAAGACAAGCCTTTTTAAAAAAGAAATCTGTATTTAAGCCCGTGTTTGTCTGTGTTCTTTGCTGCCTTAAAGGTCACCCAGATAGATTTTTTCCTTCTTTAGCATTGCAGGCTGTGAAGAGCCAGGCCTTTCCATTCTCCCTCCATCCAGTGAACCTGGGGGACTAAATTAGATTCTGAAATTGAGTGTGCAGTGGAGTCAGTAAGTTACCGTAATGGGAGGGTATTGCTTCTCACCTTGCAAGTAGCGAGGTCATGATAATACGAAGCGAAGTGGATTAAAAATAAAACCAAAGGTATTTATTTATGACCTGCTCAGAATTGGATTGGCATCCGTGTAAGTTGCATCTAATGGTGGAAGACAGTAGATTGATGTTGATGTGTCCCTGAGGACATGCTGCCAGGGAGACCTGCTCCATGAATTCAATTTAAAGACCAACAGAAAGTATCCAAAATGCAAAGAAAATAGGGGAAGCAACGGTAAATGGCGATTAAAGAGTGTCCTGGCACATGGTTCTTGTGACTGGGATGTGCATCCCTGAGTCTACTGGAGGTTCCCTCCTGACTGGGATGGGGATGACGAGGGAAGTTTGTTCTGATTAGCCAGCCCCAAACCTGGGTTATAGTCCTGAGCACCGCTGTGTCCTCTCCTGGTTCTACCCATACTGACAGAGCTGTCCTAGTCCACATTAATGGGGAACTTAGGTTCCTCCCTGCTATCCAAGTAGGGTTCTAGAAGTTAGGTGGGCCAGAGTCCAGAAGCTGTCATAGACTGGAAATCAGGCCATGCTGGGCTGAGCTGGGCTTTTTGAAGCCAGCTGCTCTCTGTCTCTTGTCATCTGTCTAGAGCTGGGGTGACATGGCTTCAGGGCCCAAATCCTATAGAGCCGATGTCTGCAGAGCCTTTGGAAAGGAGTATACTGCTCCCTGGAGGTGGTGGCTTAGCTCACACCCATTCGTCTGTGGAGAACCTTCTCTGGAAAGCTGTTATAACCACACAGACCTCTAAGACCCACATCTGCTTAATTCCTCCTAGTATTGCAGTCTTTCTCCCAAGACTCGCCCTATCCTTAATGAAGTCCCCAGAGACTTTGTATGTGAGCCATCATCTAATAGAAGAGGCCAGGCTGTCGATGCCAGGGTGTGGGTGTGGGTGTGGGTGTGTGGGTCACCTGCATCTTAACATGATGCCCCCAAGATCCTGTGGTTTTTCCCTCCTGTCACTGACCTCGGCTGTTGTTGGTAACTCACTGTCTCAGCATTGTCGGTCCTGGTTCCTAGCTCTTGGATGTCCTTGTGGGGATGTCCTCTATCCCCACCCTAAAACATGGCCCAGTGCAAACCTGGGGTGCTGGATGAAGCAGAGGAACTACAGCGTGGAAATCCCAAAGCAGAGCTTTTCATCCCTGATGCCAGCAGAACTGAGTGACAGTGGCAGGAACAGTCCCATGTGTACTCAGCCTGTTCTCAGTGTGTCCCCATTGTGTGCAGTGTGTGTCCAATGTGTGCAGTGCATGTCTAGTGCATTCATGGTGTGCCTACCTGGTACTGGACATGCCCCTGAAGTCCACATGTCATCCCAATGGCTAGCAGGCCAATCATTCTGCTGTGTTTATAAGGGGGTCCCTCGGCTTCTAGGATGACATAAATGATTGTTCCCAATGTCAATACTTGTTACCTTTGATCTTAGGGAAGAACAGAGTATTGGGGACAGGTGGCTCTGCCCTATGGTGTAAACATATTACTGAGACCTGAGGCAGTCACCTCACACACAAGGAAGTATAGAGAGAGGTGGTGTGTCACTCTGTAGTCTCAGAGAAGCTTTGCGCTCTCAGAATTCTCCTGCAGCCTGACCCATGGAGCCTTCCTGGCCATGAGGACCGCTGGTGCTGTGTCCCTGGAGTATTAAAGGGTTTGGAGAAGGGGTCACAACTGCAGTGCTGTGAAGTTCCACTGTGTGGCTCTCAGTTGCTGAGCTGGGTGACAGATAAGACTATCGAGGCCAGAGTCTGGCTGGGTGGGGTCACAGGATGAGTGAGTGGAAAGGACCACAACAGCTGAGGGCACTGTGCCATGCTTGCCTCCTGCTACTCACTGGCTTCTGAATGCCTGCTGCTGAGACCTGGCCTTCAGCCCTGGACCCTCCCTAACTCTCTGTCTCTCCTCCAGGAGTTGCTGCTCTTCCTCCAGAACCTGCCTACTGCCCACTGGGATGACCAGGACGTCAGCCTGCTGCTGGCCGAGGCCTATCGCCTCAAGTTTGCCTTCGCAGATGCCCCCAATCACTACAAGAAGTGAGCCTGGGCCCCATGGCAGTGGCCTCACCCTGGGGGTAGCATTCCTTCCCTGCCTGGACAGATGCTAGCCTCTGGATTGGTTCTTTCCTGGTGTGACCTAGCAGATTGGACCCAGCAGGGTCCCGAACTGGCAGGATAGTCAGCCTCAGTTTGATGAGATACCAAAGAGAGCCTGGGAGAGAATCCTAGCTTCAGAAGCTCAGTGTGGCCAGGAGTGTCCCTCACCCTGGTCCTTCCTTGCCAAATGTCCAGCCTTAGGCCCACAGCCCAGAGGAAGTTTCCCTCAGAGAGGCCTGCTATATGGGTGCCAGGCAGGGGTGGGCAGCCATCTCAGGCCTGCTGTGAAATGCACAAATCTATTCTGTTGAGTGAAAGAATAAAGTCCAGACAAAATGCTGAGCACCACTGGGGCTAAGCACACAGAGCCTCCAATGGCCACCATGCTTAGTCTTAGTTTAAACAGGGCTGGACCAGGAGTTTGATCCTGGAAGGCTGTGGAACAAAAAGAGGCCAGGGCAAGCTGAGATCTCTCAGTCACCTCACTTTCTGTCTTTAATTACCCCACTACCTGTCCTTGCGGTGAGGGGGTCCAAGAACCCCCAGGGAGGCAGGAGTTACTGTCAGTCAAGGCCCAGAGACTGTCTTACAGGCCCACACTTGGCCAGAGCAGGGCAGAAGTGAATAGTTCTACAGTCCCAGCCTATACAGGGAGGCTCTTCCCACCATCACCTGGATAGGAAAAGCCAGGAGCTGCTGGCTTGGGGTCCCTTCATACCCTACTGACCTTCCCAAATCCACTGGCTTGGAGCCGTTGCCCTGGCTGCTCCAGGGCCCTCAGACTGGCTTCCCACATGTGCTCCCAGGAATGCCCCAAGCTGCCTGGCCTCTGTGATGTGGAGTCCCCAAAGATCACCAGGCCACCTGTAGGGCAAGAGCTTCAGACTCCTAGAGCTGGCTTCTGTCCTCAGTTACCCACTATGGCCCAGGAACAGCGCACCACTGCCCAGGCACTAGGACACTGCCCAGAGGCTGTAGGGGACACAGGGAAGATGCGTGTTTGCGTCTATTCAGATTGTTCTGGGTCAGATAGGGCATGACATCAGCAAAGTGTTGTGCAGGCAGTCCATGTCCTGGACCAGCAGAAGGACATGCTTCCTCGAACCAGTGCCTGTCCTGGGTGAGTGGCACCCAGTCATGAGGAAAGGTGCCTCTGTGGCTCTGTGGTGAAGCGTCATCCTTCCTGATCCTTCCATGGCGCCGATCACCCCTCAGACAAAAGGGTAGGGCCATATAGATCTGCCCCATGGTGTTTTTTTTTTATGAGATGACAAGAACCCATGAGGTTAACTTAAGCCCTGAATGAATTTTCATGTGTTCAAATGCTTGACTGGGTGTAAGGGACGCTGGCCACAGTCCTGTGCCCAAGCCCGTGAGCTGAGCCAGGCAGGATGTGTGCTTTGAATGTGATGTGTTGGAAACATGAAATAAAGATGCTTCATATGGCCCGTGGTCTTTACATATTTTTATTCTATTTATTTGGGGAGCCTGTGCCATGGCCTAGGTGCAGAGGTCAGAGAACAGCTTGCTGCAGTCTGTCCTCTTCTTCTATCATATGGGTCTCAGGGATCAAACTCAGGATGTCAGGCTTGGTGGCAAGCTCCTTTAACCACTGAGCCACCTTGTTGGCCCTGTGATCTTGACTCACTCTTCAAGGCCTGGGCCTCAACTCTGAGCCTGTGCTCTAGGCCTTGCCTTGATCACGGCAGTACTGTGGTCTTGCTGGCATACGTCCTCAGAAGAGGAAGGAGTATTTGTCCAGGTGGCATGGGGAAGCCACTTGCCTATGGTTCGGGTGGGATACAGACCTGGTCCTGATCCTCTGAAGCCAGGCCTTGGAACTCCCAGTACTCAGGAGCCAGCAGACTAGGTGTCAGGGTCCAGCACAGACCCCGTCAGGCTTTGGACAAGAGACAACTCTCCAAGTTTCCATTGTAAAAAGCCTACACTTAGTTGGCCCTGGAATCTAGGCCCCTCTTCCATACTCCTAGGAACTCAGAGCCTGTCACTCTACCTTCACCGAGGTGTACGACTCCAGACTCTGGTCAAACAGCTGCCACATACTGTCATTTGCCACCATGAATGATGCTCAGTCCCTACCTGAGGTCTTCCCTGTCTGTGATTGGTACCTGAGTCCCAGGGTTCCTAGATAAGATCCCACCCTGAGCGGTACCCAGGAACATCTAATCTACAGAAAAAACCCTGTCTACTGAGCTCTGCTGTTGAATGCCTGAAATGACCCCATGGGGCAGTCAGATCTCTGACAAGGAGAGCTGTGTTGGGGGCAGGGCTGTCCTGGGATGGCTTGGTCATGTGGGAACACTCATGCAAATCTTACATGGACACATGGATATAGGTCCTGTATCAAGTGCACTCAGGTAATCTTCAGGTACGTGTCACCCTGGTATGTGTCGCCCTGGGCCAGCAGCTCTAAGCAACCCCGGGGGTCTGCTTGCCCTATCCAGGGGTGTCTGCGGGGACAGAATGCCTGAATGAAAGCCCCTCCTGGAGCCTCCCTACCCTTTCCTCTCTTCACTGACCAACTCATCTCTCACCCCAGCCATGCTTCCCTCCAGTGTGGCACTCAGCTCATGGGGACGGGGCCACACAGGTCTGCCCCCACATAACTTGGAGGCCTTCCAGACCTACTCTGCAGCCCCTGGCATGATCCTTAGCAGGGGATAGCTTCAGAGGCATACAGATGAAGAAGCCTTTGAGTCCATTTCATTAACAGGTTGAGACTGATTAATGTTTCCCATCAAAGAAAAGTGTGGCACCAGATGGTTCTACTGCTGGATTCTACCGAGTATTTCAAGAGTCAACACTTGTCTTCCTCATATTCCTTCAGAAACCCAAAGAGGAGGGAAAATTTCCAAACTCCATTTACAAGGCCAGCATTCAGTCTCCTTGGTATAAAAACCAGACAAGGGCATCAAAAGACAATTAAATTGCAGGCCAAGGTTCTTGAATAAAAAACAAAAAAAGAACAAAGGCCCTCAGGAGAATCCTAACAAGCTAAACTCATGACACATGGAAATACAGTCCATGAAAGTTGAGTAGGATCTGTTTCCTGCATGCAAAGATGGTTCAATTTAAGCATACTGGAAAATGTGGTACAGCAGATTAACAGAATAAAAAAGCCATGAAAATCATGTCTTACATACAGGAAGAGCAGTTGACAAAATTCAATATTCTTTCACAATTAAAAAGAATTATCCAAGCTGAGCATGATGGTATATGTCTTTAATACCAGAACTCAGGAGGCAGAGACAGGTGGATCTCTGAGTCGGAAATCAGCCTGGTCTACAGAGCAAGTTCCAGGATAGCCAGGGCCTCACAGAGAAACCCTGTCCTGAAAAAACAAAATAATTACTAAACTGGCTATTCAGGAATTGTAGAATATTTGTTTACACTGTAAAGATGTGTGTCTGCCTAAGTCACCTTCTGATTGGTTTAATAAAAAGCTGAATGGCCACTAGCTAGGCGGGAGAGGTTAAGCAAGACTTCTGGGCAGAAAGAGGAATTCACAGGATTTGAATCTAGGTCTGCAGGAGATGCCACCGAGACATGGAACAAGTCGGACATATGGTGCAGAGGAGAGGTAACCAAGCCATGTGGCAGAACATAGATGAATACAAACAGGTTAATTTGAGTTTTGAGTTTTACAAGCTAGAATGGGAAAGTCTAAGCCAAAGTCTCCATGCCATTATTTGCAAGCTGGCAACTGACAAAAAAAAAAAAATGTACTACACAGAATTATGTGTAGTATAAAGGAATAGGCCTCTGCATAGGGTAGGCCCTAGAAAAGAAGTTCACACCAACACTTTATTTCACAGTGGAAAGCTGAAGCCCTTTCTTTTAAGGCTGGAATGAGACAAGGAAAGTTATCTGCTCTCACCGCTTATACTCAACGTAGCACTGGAAGTACTCAGTACAACACTGGAAGCACCCAGCCTGATACTGGAAGTCCTTCCTAGACAAGGTGATACAGAAGAGAATAAAGGAGAAAGAAGAAACCAATCCATCCCCATTTGCTGTTTGCATAACAAATTCTACCAGAAGAGAGAAAGTAGAACTGGTAAACGAATCCACAGCACATCTGTATGAGAATGGCAAACTCTGAAGAAGAAACCAAGAGAACTATCCTATTTACAATGGTTACAATAAATAGTAATAAACTTAGCCAAGAAGTTAAGATTTATCCTAAAGGCTAAAGCATTTATGAAAGAAATTGACGAAGGCATGGCTACACCAAAAGATGCCTCGTGTCCATGAACCAAAGATGAAAAGGCCAAGACTGTTAACATATTCATTTACTGACTTGCAGTAAAATCACTGCCACAGTCCCAACCACACAGCTCAAAGAAAGAAAACACACCTAAAATTCATTTGGAATGTAAAGCTCAGCTTGCCTAGCAAGCTGAAAGCAAAACTGGAGGCATCATACTGTCTGATGCCAACTATACTGCAAAGACACCCGTCTGAATGCAGCATGTGTATAAATCAGTGTTCTCTAGAGAAACAGAACCAATGGACTGAATATGAATATATGTGTGTATATATTTATTACACTGGCTTATAGGATATGGTTCAACTAGTTCAACAATGGCTGTCTACCAACAAAATTTCCAAGAATCCAGAAGTTGTGCAGTCCACAATTTGGATGTCTCAGCTGGTCTTCAGTGTGTGAGGGAATCCCAAAGTAGACTCTAATGCCAGTGAAGGAATGAACTTTCCAGTGAGCATTAGGGCAAGCAAGCAAAGAGAGAAAGCTTCCTTCTTCTATGTCCTTTATATAGGCTCCGAGTTGACGGTGTGGCCCAGATTTAGGGTAGATTTTCCCACCTCAGAAAATTTTAATTAAAGGTGGGTCTTTCCACTTCAAATGATTTAATTAAGAAAAGTCCCCCACAAGTGTACCAACTGCTTGGGTTTCAATTAATGTTAGAGGTAGTCAGATTCACAACCAACAGTAACACTGGCAGATATAACACACTGCCTAGTCAAACAGAACAAAGAACTTAGAAGTGGAGCTGTGCATAGATTGCAGGTTATTCTTTGAAGAAAAAGGTGAATTCTCAAATGAACTCTCAGTGAACGGGTTGATCCATGAAAATTACAGACCTTCTAAGTGCTCCGATTAAAGAGTTGATGGCTGTTTTTATAGTCATAGTAACAAAGGGTTGAACCCCATGCCAATGAGAAAACCAGTGTGAAGACAGACCAGAATAGGAGGAGGAACCCCTGGGCTGCAGGGCCTGCCTGGATTTGAAAAGCTCAGGAAAGGAAGGCAATAGCCAAGCTGGGCAAGCATGTTCTCAACTGAGGGGACACTGAAATTCCTTAGGACAATTGTTTTTAATTTGCTTAATTACTGCGCACACATGCCATGGAAAATAGAGATGAGAGAACAACTTACAGGAGTCAGTTGTCACCTACCACGTGGGGCCCAGGGATAGAACTCAGGTTGTCAGGTTCCTTTACCTGCTTGGACCCCTTAACTGCTCTGAATTCCTTAGCACATACAATTATTGGCAATCAGTTAAAGTAAGCCGAGCACAGACCATTGGCCTTCAGGAAGAAAGGCAGCGTGGGTGCCCATAATGTGTTCACGTCACTAATGATTTAAGAAGTGAGGGGAAATACTGCTGAGATGTTTATGCCCATTAGTGCCTGACTTCTGAGATGTCTGGACACATCAATCAGGATTGCCACCCCCTTCACCCCCCACCCCCGACCTGGGAAATCTGTGTCCATTGGTAGCTGCCTCCCAACCTTGGGCTTCAGTTTGACTCATTTGTTACACGATAGTAGAAAACTAAGGCACTCTTAGTCTTTATTCTTCATGAAGCATCTGCTAAAATACAACTTGGTCTTTGCTTCAACACTGTCAAGTTTGTCGCAGCTGAAGAGGACTGTAGCACCCAGCAGATTGTCACCAACTATGCAGCTGAAGTGGACACACAGGGCAGTCCAGCCCTGAAGGGTCCCTCCTTACAAGCATAAATAGGACATCCTAACTGCCATTCACACTTCAGTGCAAGGGCCTTCATCTTATACATGGAGGGTACAATAGGGATGTGTGTCTGCAAATGCCTCTCTAGAAGTCAAAAGACAGCTTGCAGAAGTTGTCTCCTTTCATTATGTAGGTCCTAGGGATGGTACTTAGGTCAGCAGGCTTGGCTGCAGGCTCCTCTGTCCTCTGAGCCTTCCCACTGTCCCTCAGCGTATGCTCATTCGACCAGTTTCTTTGGCTTTCCTTCTGGCTTGTAGGATCATCACCCATGCTTTCCCATTGCTGGGTGGCTTGACACAGTGTGAAGAGAGCACAGTTGCTCCATCGCTCTGGTGGGCATCTGGGATGCTTCTAGTTGGAGCTGTTATAAACGGTGCTGCTCACAGCATCTGTGTGTGTATCTCCTGGAGGGCCAGCGCCCACTGTGGAGCT